AAAAAAAAAAAAAAAAAAAGGAAAACGTGAGGGGGCGTTTTCGTAGTTGGAGGCACAGAAACGCTTCTCGCGCCCCACGGCACCGCACCGCCGCGGCTAAAACGGCGAATAACGCTCACGCGGAAAGCTCGGGGCTGCCCTTCCCAAGATGGCGGCACCCGCCTCACGCGGAATCCCCTTCTCAAGATGGCAGCCCTCGGCGCCCGCAGTCTCCTCCCCAAGATGGCGGCACCCGCCCGCCTCGGAGCCCCACCCCAAGATGGCGGCGCGAGGGTGAAGGGGCGGGTGGCGGGAGCTGCGCGGCTGCCTGAGGCGGCCGCGCTCCCGCAGGCAGCGGGGACCGCACTGTGCGCGGCGTGGGGCAGCCAGCGGACGTGTCAGTGTGGGGCTCGTGGCACGTGGGAGCCTATGGCTCCCCGTGCGCTGGTGCTTCCTGCAAGGCCAACGTCAGCCCCCGGCCCGCTCCGAAGTGGAGATGGAGAGAGGTGTCCAGGGAGGGAGAGCCCATTCCCGGGGTGTCCCAGCATCGCAGGCCAGCCCAGAGCACCCTGTCAGCGCCATGYCCTGTAGCGTCGCCTCTGGCCCGCGCGCCAGGCGCAGCTGTACTCAGAGAACCGGCCCCCACGCTCGTGGTGGGGTCTTGGGCCCTCCCTGTCATGCTGCGGGGCAGCACTTGTTCCATGTGGGCCTTCATCCACAGAGCCTGACTGTAACGGGTGGTTTGGGTCGGTCTGACCCGCGCTCTGTGCAGGTGCGCGGGTTCTGCTGTGCAGATTATGCTAACGGGGCTAATGTGGTGAGCGCCCCTCGTATAAAATGCTGGTGCCGGCGTAGCGTGTTCCAGTTCAGCGGAGCGGGGTAAATGACGCGGGGAGAAAGCGCTTAAGCAGCGGTACCACCGCGTCTGCCCTAGGGCACTCCTCTGCGTCGTGATGACTGGGCTGCTGATAGAGTTAGGCCAGGAGAACTTCAGAAATGCAGGCCTGAATTGGTGGGAGAGCGGGAAAATGAAGAAAAAAAGAATGAGAAAGAACTTGGTATAATATGTGCATGCAGACGGGCCCCTGCGCTGCTCCTGGTGGAGCAGCTGGAGGCAGCGCTCACCCTAGGCTGACCTGAGTTGGCGTTGGGCCCAAGCTGCGCCCTGCTCTCTCTGCTCTCGGGTGCCTGGGCACAACAAGGGCTCCCCCGTGATACGGGCATCTGAGCAGCTGCCCATGTTGCTTGTCTGTGAAATAAGTTCAGCCAGAAATGCTCAAGAAATGCTCAAAGTCCTCCTGCAGGAAGGCATCTTTCTCCCTCTTTGCTGCAATCCTACCCGTCCGTACTGCAAGTGGGACTCCAAACCTCCCGTGGGGGGTCATTTGCCATTGTTGACGCCAAGAATGTCTTGTGCTGTGCAAAAACAGGCTTGAGTGGGCACTGCAAGGCTCTGCTTTGCCCTTAACCCACCCTCAGGTAACTCCCAGCTATTGCCAGCACTAGGTCCAAGCGTAACATCTTTGTCCAGAAGAGCTATCACTCAATCCAAGGCTCTTGATTAAGACCTTAAAGCTTAATGTGCACTGACCTTGCCTGACCCATTGAAGCAAACCAAACACATAGACCCTCTGCAGTCAAGATCTCTATTGACATCTTAGACTCTCGGCGCCTTTGTGCAGCTTGCTGATCCTGGGAGGACGGCAGGCAAGGCTTACCTGCCGACGTGGCCCAGCTAAATGTGTTCCTTTGCGTTAAGGATTTCCTGCTGGCATCAGAAAAGTCTCTAATACTGCTAGTGGTTGCCTTACTCCTCCTCTCTGCTAGCTGCACATCACTTCTGTCATTCTCACAGAAAATATATGAGTGCGAGGAGGTCCTCAGGAATTCTACTCACAAGGGAGTATGCACAGAGATTTTAATATGTGTAAGTCTTTGGAGCATTTTGTCTTAAGGAGCTACTGGGAGAGATTTTAATAAATGTGATTCTCTGCTGGGAAGTCAGAAGGCTGCTGTAAGTGGCACAGACTTTRTAGCTGTGAATGACGTTGCAGGGACTCCCTCCTTAGAAGAATTATCAGGGGAGATTTGTTTCACCTCTACAGCAAATAGGATGTAAATTTGTAAAGTTTTACATTAAGGCGGTCCAGCAAGTAAGTATTTTCTGGTTCCAACTGATTTAAATAGCACTCAGGAAAGTAAAGATAGTAAACATCAAAGAGGACATTTGAAAAAAAGGCAGACGGAATCCGCCAGCCCTTGCAGCGTTCTTCCCAGGCTCCATCCYGCCCTGTTCCTCGATGCCTCCTCATGGCGGTGGCTGCCTCCGCTGCGGAGCCCTCCGAGAGCAAAGGCTGCCGAGAGCCTCGCGGGGCTGAGGCACCGGCAGCCGCCCGGAGCCTCCYGGGCAGCGCGTGCGCGGGGAGGACCCGCAAGCGCCCGTGTGGGCAGCGGGAGCTGCCCGGAGAGCGGGATGGCAGGGAACCGGGCCTGCAAACGCCGTGGCGGGGAGGCCCCCAAGAGCACTCGCTGCTGCTCCGCAGGAAGCTCTGAAACCCCTCCAGTGCTGGCGCRTGTTCTGACCTCATGGGAACGTAGCCGTGAAGAGAGGTTGGTGCCATGAGTTTATCTACTGCCAAATCTCACAGCCATCTGCTTCTGATGCTTCTGCTGACCTGGGTGCCCCAGAGGSCTGGAGTCAAAAACCATCCAGTCTGGGGAGCTGCGATGAGGGCGGCCCTCCTTGCACCGCAGGACAGCAGAGGGAGGCTTCAGCCTGACCAGCCTGCTCAGGCCCTGCATTGTGGCAGACACAGGGCTCTTGGATGGAAAACTTGGCTACAGGACAATGTGGGACAAGGAAATGGAAAGTGGAAAGGGTTGTGGGCAAAATAATGACAGTAAAGCCTAGGGGAGATCTGGCCCTGGATCCCTTGGTCAGGATTGCTGAGCAGCTTGGGGGCACTGTGTTTCTTAGGGGAGCTGCCGTGTGCCCTGCAAAGCTGCCGCTTCTGGGGCATCTTCCCCCTTTTCAAGCCAAGCATCCAAGGTCCCTCCAGGATGGAGCTCCCTCAGCTATGACCAGGAGAAGAGGTTTGGTCCAGGCAGCCTCCCTGTTCCCTGGACTTCATCCCAAGGAAAGCTTCCTGTGTTCCCGGACACCAGGATAACACCCCCTGTGATCCTGCTGCTCCCCTCGTTGTTAGCAGTTTGCTGCTGTATAAGGAATCTTCCCCTTTAAATACTGAATGAGAAGCTCTTAAAATATGCATTGGTGGGACTGCTGTAATTCCAGCTGCGGGCTCCAGTGGCACTGCCCATGCCCTGATTTCTCCTGCCTTCTGCTCTAGCAAAAGTCTTGAGGGCAGGGAGTCTCCTGCASCCAGTATTGCTCAGATTTGAGGCGTTGAGTTTCTTTCCGTCTGTCTTTCCCCCTTCCCTCCTGCAAATCTCCCTTCCTTGAGAATTTTTCTCTCCCCCTTTGTCCTTTTCTCTCCTTGCTCAGCATCCGKGGCCCCGTGGGGATGGTGGTGGTTCCCCCCATGCTGCGGTGGCTGTGGCTGTGGGTGGCAGCATGAGGGAGCTGAAGGATTCTTGGGAGCAGGGCTGCCATCCCACCCGGATGGATTTCTCCTGGGGCAGGGTGGGAGGGCTGGAAAGAGGAACCATGTGTGTGCATGGAAGGCCGGGCGGAGGAGACTGCAGAGATCCTCACACCGCCCGGCAGATCCAACTGTGGAACAGATGCAACCCAGAGGCAAGGAAATGGGCAACCTCCTCTTTGGGGAGCAGACTGAGATAACAAGCGCTCCAGATGAGCTGCTAGGAAAACAAACCCCAAAAAACTGTTCAAAGCCCTCCACTGCCCGCAGCAGTGGGGAGGCAGCTTGCACCACCTCC